TTTCTTTTAGGGATGTCCACTGTTTTTTAGTTCATCTCTTTTGTTCTATACCTGAGGTCACATTCACGAGGTGCAAAGAAAGTCGCATTTCCTATTCTTTTCTTTCCACATTTGGAACTGATAATTTGCAATCCGAGTCTGATACGAGACACTTTCTTAAACCATCATTTACACATCGTTTACTGCTACAAAGATTAACATTAATCATCACTTTCATCATTAAAATTTGTATGATTTCAAAATTTATATAACAGTTTACTAATGTTTCAAGAGTGAAAAAAGGTGTGCAAGAAAAGTGGTGTCTGTGACAGATTTTGTCATGCTAACTCAGTGTCTTACATTGGTTTAAAATTGCGTGGTTAACAGAAACAGGAGCATGCCCAGCAAAATAAAACGCAGTTATGCAATGTTTAACCACCTTAGGAGAACATTTTGCACTTATTTAATCAGCATCCATGCATTTAGAGGTAGTTTTTGAAGCTACATATGTATAAAGTTATGTTGGATATAGTTTTGTACTTACAGTAAAAAACTGTGGTTTGTATATGTTGGGAAGAGGAATGGGAAAAATGTGAGCTGAGTTCAGTTATGTGTCATCTGGGATTTGTCCTAGGGGTGGATGGGACTGCTTACAACATGAAACAAAAGGTTACTAGTTTTGATCTGTCATTAAGGTTGACACCATAGTAGTAGCTCTTCTCTTGGAACTTGGAACTTGGAACTTGGGTTTCATAGCTTCCTCTTCCAACTCTTTGTCCTTTTTCTTTAATGCATTGCACTTCACTTGTTTCTGATACTTGGAAATTATTTTAACTAAGTCTCCAGATTTAAGTACATTCCATGATGCACCCTTTGATGTGGTCCTTTATGGCATACTGGTTTACATTTCAGAAGAATTTAAATTAACAAACTTTAAAGATATGTTGATGGGGACCAAGATGGGGTGGTCCAATATTTTTGTTGGACTGTGATCCAACAAAATTAACGGACTTGGAATATTTCTCGTAGAAGGTTTGTTGAGGCAGCCACAGTTATGCATAGTAAGTTCTATCTATATTGCAGGTTGATCTTAAATAGAGTGAGATTTGTCCTTGGTAATAGAATATACCAATTAGGGGTATATATCTAATAAAATGCCTATGGACAGTGTCATGACCTTCAAGTTGTTGGGAAATTAAAGATGAACAATGAACAATACTACCATGTTAGGTAAAGTGAGGGACTACAATGCATGGACACAGATCAGAGAGAATGGAATAAGGCATAAAGCAATTGACCCAACTCTGTTACATATTTGTTTTATAGGGTGTAGGAACTATAGGGTATACCACAAGAAATGGTCCTCAATAGAAACCCTATTACTAGGTCAGGTTTTGGTCATAAGAAACCACCCTGATCAGTCCTTCTCACCATAATTGCATTTTTTGTTTTTCTAGGAATCTACCACTTTTAATTCATTTCCTTTCCAACGTGTCTCACTTTCATAATTATCTCTTCAATTATTCAACTACTAATGAGGTGCACCAATAACCAAATCAAAATAAACTATATATATATTACTACAGATGAAAAAAAACTTGACCATATTACCGTGAATAAAACTCACTGATCGAAAGAAAATAATGTCCGTACATGAAACATGTTTTTCCGTTCTAACCTTTGTGTTCTACAGCAACACAGTACTGAGTATGGTAAATCAAACAGCTTTGAACTTCGAAGAAATTAAGAATGTGTCCTTTTAGAATTCAGAGACACTTGTAGGAACACTAATTTCGATTTTGGTATTTTATACCCTTCAAACAACCTTTGCATTCTAGCTTCCAGTTACCTGGCCCAGAAAGAATTGATAACTGGATACAATTTATGGCTACGTATATGATTTCTTCGTAGGCCTATGAGTCCAAGAAATAAAGGGTATTTCTTGCATACCCCATTAAACTCTTCCTACACCTCCTTTTTCCACTTCCTGATGAAAAAACACTTCAGAAATCTGAAAAAAGAGCTGCACGTGAGGTTTTTTGGTTGAGTGAAAGTCAAACCCAATTAATAAGAAAAATACCTTAAATGGTACATTTTTTATTTGAATTCAAAACATACAACAAAATAATGGTTATTTCCATTCCATTGTGTTAATTGTTTTTGAAAATTTTAATATTATAGGTACTTGTTTCTACTTTGTTAATTTTTAAATTTGTAATGGAAATAAGATTTTTCTATTGAAAATAAATTTATGGAAACAAAAATTTGTTTCTGTTGTGTTAAATTTAATCAATGGAAACATTTCCATAGGATACTTTTTTAACTAATTACCAAAAAGGATAGCTTAGTGTTTAAACAGTAACTTTCCAGTGGCAATAGCAGGGCCCATGAACTTTTAATGTTGGATCTTTATTTAGTGAAAAGTAGAAACTGGACAAAAAAAAGAGCAGTGTTGCTCTCTCCACCACCACACCTTTCTTTCTACACCTCCCCAATTTTTTTTAATTCCAATTATATCCTGAGATTAAAATTTTTTACTTTTACTATTTTACTACTTTAATTTATTTCAAACCTAGTTCTCATACTTTACTCCCTGCACCCAATCTTTCCATCTCTCATTTTCGTTTAACAATTTGTCTTCCGTTTTACTCTGCAACCCCATTTGTCTTCTCCGTTTCACTTCTCCTCCTCCATTTCTTTCTTCTTCATTTTCCTTACATTATTAAAATACATTAAAAATATATTCAAAAATAATAAATCAAAATATTTAAATTAAATTATTAAAATATTTCCAAAATAAAGAATAAACTAATCAAACAAACCCTAAAATAAAAAAGTAACCTTTAAATGGAGGTGACATCCTTCAACGGATGTCAACATCTGGTTAAGGAAAAACGGATGTCGACATCCGTTTTTACCTTAAATGGATGTCGACATCCGTTGAAGGATGTCACCTTCGTTTAAAGGTTACATTTTTTATTTTATGGTTTTATTTGAAGGTTTATTCGAATATGCATCTGGAGGAAGCAACACACGCACTGCACCACTCCACACACACTGCACCACGAGAGCGACACTGCTTGATAATTCTTTCCACTACCACCAACCTTTGCAACTTGTAGTATCTCATAGCTACGAAAGAAAGAGAGGAAGAAATATAATGTTAAAATGAAAGAAAAATATTTTTCTCATGTACGAGGGACTATAATAGATTATTAGTGGAATAGGTTGTGAATGGGTAAAATTAAAAAATAATAACCCTAAAAATAAAATTTTACTTAGGAGCAAAATAGTAAAAGGGAGGTGGAGTGAAAAAGGTGTGGTGGTGGAGGGAGGAACACCCAAAAAAGAGTTAGGAAGTTTCTTTCCACACCTCCATAAATTTCTCCCTGTACCTCTTGTAAAAAAAATTCTACTTTTCTGTTTTTAAATTGTACAATTTTAAAATTATTTTTAGAAGTAAAAAATGACTTTTATACTATGTAATTTAAAAACATTTATTTTTTTGAAAAAATAATTTCAAATTGTATAATCTAAAAGCAAAAAAATCACTTACAAATTATGTAATCCAATTTTTTTAACCCTCTTGAACTTTTGGAAGTCATTTTTTTCTTCTAAATTTAAAATTATTTTTGGCTTTCAAATTCTAGAATAGAATTAAAAAAAAAACGATTTTAAATTACACTATCCATTTTTTTTATTAACTTTTAAATTACACAATTAAAAAAGATAACATATTTTTTTTACATATATTGATGCAGGGGAAAATTTATGAACGTAAAGGGAGAAATTTGTAGAGCAGAAAGAAAAAAAAGGTGAAGGTTGCAATAAGGTGAGAATTGGACTATACCAAAGTATTATAGATTTCTTAAAAAATATTATGTAAAATATCTTTTAATATTAAAATAATTACTTATGAAACGACATTTTTTTATTATCAGATCTCCCTTCTTTTATTACAAAGGAGTTATATTAGATTCCTTTCATAAAATCAAATTATAGTTTTAAAAATAAGAGACTAAGTAAAATAACGTGATATTTATTATCTAACATAATTAAAATATTATTGTTGTTTTGATGTTAAGTATGTGGAGATTGTACTATTAAAATTAATTATCATATTTAAAGTAATGTGATATTTAAAGATTGTAATATTTAAATTAATTATCCTATCTTAACTCTTTTCCAAGACACAAAATCGTGTTGAAACTTGTAATCTCGTAATAAGGAAGATATGGTGATTGAACAAAACTATCTCCACAATATTATATATGTGAAGTAACTAATTCCACGTTGCTCACATATATATATATATATATATATATACACACACACACGGGGTTTGCTAAGACGTGTATCCCTGTTTTTTCAGTTGATACATTTTATCAATGTGTACTGGATTTTAGTACACAAAAATACGATCTCTTCAATTTTACCATTTTCATTAACCTTTCTAATTTCATCATTATTTGTATATGTTAAAAACCCTGCAACCAATTCTTTCGGATGTCATTATGTTTGTGAAAATTAGATAAAATTATATATTACAAAAATTATAAAATAAAAACTCATTATAAAATATTTTTTTTTAAGAAATTGTTTAACAACGAGTGTTTCTGAGTCAGTTACCAATTCCTTCATTATACTTATGAAAATTAGATAAAATTAGATAAGACAAAAATTATAAAATGAAAACTCATTATAAAATCATTTTTTTTTGTAAGAAATTGTTTAACAGAGAATATTTCTGATTTTTCCCAGGTCAATTACCAATTCTTTTATGCTTGTAAAAATTGGATAAAATTAGATAAGACAAAAATTATAAAATGAAAACTCATTATAAAATCATTTTTTTATATTTCCTATCTTTTCCAAGTCAATTATCAATTTCTTTATGTTTGTGAAAATTGGATAAGACAAAAATTACAAAATAAAAATTCGTTATAAAATTATTTTTTGTAGATTGTTTAAGATTTATCTTTGTAAAAAGTTATTATCGTTATTTTATATATAATCCAAAAACCACGCTAATTATCTAAAATAAAGTTTTCAAAATTTCCCAACCCAATAGAGTGAAGGGGAAAAGAAGGTCTATTCAATCCATAGCTTGGATTTCCCAGCAGGCACGGTGATTCTGATTGTTGTTATCCTCAAAGGCTTCAGCTTTGGTCCTCCCCTCTCAACAACCTCATCAATTTCGGTGTAACACTTCTGCTCTCATCCTCGCACTTTCACAATTTTACTACATTTCTAAAAAAATTATGTTTTGTCTCGATTCTTGATTTGGCTGATGAAATATGTGGATTGGGTTCACTTATGTTTTGGGTCTGATTTTGATTTTGCGTTTGCGGGGTTATGCTTCCCAGCGGAGCAAGTATTGTGGTGCACTAATTTTGTTCGATGGAATGTCTCACTGAACTAATGTTTTTTTAATGGCTGACCCTTCACTTTGGAATACTTAACCCCTTTCTAACTTCTGTTTTCTTTTAATATTCTAGCTTCGGTATTGTTCTCTGTGGCTGCTTATGCTTGTTTGAGCTACGTGCTTCTTTACCTATTGAATCACAACTTACGTGTGTGTTGAAAGCATCGTGCTCTGTTAGTTTATGTTGGGAATTTCATGTTTTTGCTTGGAATTAGGGAGAGTAGTCGAAAGAAACCTGATTCAAAGAAAAGGAGGATTTTCCTCCTCTTCCTTGGGTCCATGTTAATGTTATTTGGATCATGCTTGGTCCGTTTTGTGTAGTTTTATTCTTTTATTGTTTATTATCATTAAGACAAGAGTATAAACTTAGTCAAGTAAAATGGTTTGGGGGAAATTTAGTGACACTTTTTGACTTGATTTGATGATCATTTCCTTCACAGGAGCTGTCTGTCCTTTTGCCGTGCCAGATTTTAGTGTACTGTTATTGTGGCTTGTTTTTGTTATTAAATTTCAATTTTTTATTAACTTGTGAGTTTGTTGTTGACATTGTAGTTTTTGTTAATAGCTCTACATAATGCATGGATGGAAATTTTCATGCAATCTGATTACAAACAAAAATATTTTTCTTATTGACAAGCATATAGAAAATTTTGTCATAGAACTGAATTTTTAGGAAAACAAATTCTCTTATACCACTGTTTGTGAGAATGTATTGACATTTTGATTCTTTTTCCTAATTGCTAATGTTGAAAAAGGTTCGTTCATGTATTTTGGTCCTTGATCAAACCATACATATAACTCGGTATTAAAAAGTTGTTTTTATCCGTGATCAATTTTCCAACACTCAAACATTTCTATAGATGATTCACTTAAGTTTATACTTATTTTCTTTTCTTGCAGTTAGCACTTAATGTCCTGTTATTGTAGGGACGTAAGTCTTGCTAAACATGATATGTTCAAGGCTAAGTAGGAGAACTCATCCCTTGCCATATCTTAGGGCACTGCAAACCAACTCTCTTGAATCCAGGTTATACTATGTTGCACCAATTCCTATGGTTTTGTTATTTTTATCTCAGGTTATAGATTAATTTTCTAATGGTAATGGGGATTATTTGAAACATGTTTGTCATAGAATGAAATAAGTTATATTTTACTACTTAAGCATCCTTCTCAAACCAATTGTTCTCTCCAATTAGTTTTTGCCTCTCTAAAATCTGACTTCCAGAAAGAAATTAGTTTATACTTTAATCACTTATTTGTAGATGATTTTGTTTTTTATACAGATGCCTATCTATCCTTTCTAAAAGAACAAGTTACAGGTTCATNTCTGGCTTCATTGGCATGCTCAATATAAGCTGTTCTGCTTCTTCAAGATAACCAGCACGACCCAGAAGATCAACCATGCACCCATAGTGTTCAATTTTAGGCTCTAATCCAACCCTATTAACCATGTCATTAAAAAATGATCTTCCCTTGTCCACTAAGCCTGCATGGCTACAAGCACTTAAGATGGCTATGTACGTAACATCACTCGGGGATATTCCACATTTTTCCATCCTCGACAAATAATTAAACACATCATTGGCTTTACCATGCATGGCAAGACCACTAATAACAACATTCCATGTTATAACATTGTTTTGAGGTAGCTCCTCAAATACCAGAATGGCCTTCTCAATGCTCCCACACTTGGCGTACATATCAACCAGAGCCGAACCAAGCACATCATCAATCCGGATCTTATTCTTCTCTGCATATAAATGCACCCATTTCCCCAACTCAAGCGCTCCAAGACGCGAAATCGCAGGTAGCACACTGATCAAAGTGACCCGGTTCGGCGACATGTCTCCCATCTGCGTCATCCTACGAAACACTTCTATGGCCTCTCTATAAAATCCATTTTGAGCATACCCAGAAATCATCACATTCCAAGAAACCACACTCCTTTGAGCCATCCTGTCAAACAAGTCCCTAGCAGTCTTAAGGTTCCCAACTCTTACATACCCATCAACCATCACATTGCATAGAACCACATTAAACTCTCCCCTCCTCTCCTCTCTCACCAACCTCCTCACATCATCAACACCCTCAACATTCCTATAAAACAAAACATGAGCATCGTCCATACTCCCACACATCACGTACATCCTTAGCAAATTAGTGACAACAAATTCATCGTTCACCAATCCAAACTTAAGAACTAACCCATGAACCTGTTTCCCTTCTTCGAACCTGGCCATGACTGCGCACGCCTTCAGAACAGATGGGAAAGTGAACCGGTTAGGCTCCACCGTTGCCTCGGTCACCATTTGGCAGAAAACAAAGAAGGCGTCCAAGAGCCTATCTTGGGTTTCAGCAAGTGCTCTTATCACAGTGTTCCAAGCAAAGCAATTCCTGTTAGGCATTTGGTCGAACACTGAGAGGGCATGCCCAATATCACGAAAATCAGACGTGGCACTGAGCCTAAGAATCTCTGTTGCTATTGTGGTGTCACGGGTTCGTGCTGTTTTGACAAAAAACGCATGCACTTGCTTCAATTCTCGCATGCTTTTGCATGTCCTGATTTGTGGGACACCAATATGTGGATCATGACATGCTGTATTGGTCTGAAACATAAAAGCATTCATCTGTGAGCAAAATTTATCTTTTCATCCAGAACAGGCGTGAATTTCAGTATCTTGCTTATGTGCATATCTCCATCTTAACAGAAGAAAACTCTCCCTTTCTAATAGAGTTGTGAATGTTTGGTTTGGAGATTGGATACTCAAAGATAAGATGAAAGAAGCTTAAATACAACTTTTGTCCTTTTATTTTTTTTTAATCATTTAGAATATCCTATTTTTATAGGATTTTCTCGATTTTATTTTTGGTTTAATCATTTAAAATATTCTATTTTTATAGGATTTTCTTAATTAGGTTGAGTAAAATATCTTAATTAAATCTTGATTGTAAAAAATTAATCAATTGAGGCTTGTCGTTAATTTGGATAGAACATCAAAAAGTAACGTGCGTGATAGCATGACATTAGATTTTAATGATGTGGCGTTACATTACGGTTAATTGGATTTATTGTATTTAGAAATTGAGGCCTTGCCATAACCAGATGACATTAGGGTTTTGCAGGGAAAGACGTTCTCTTGCTTCTGCGGCGGCTGCATCTGGTTTCTTGGTCTTCCTCTGTAGGTCATGCGAGTGGAGGAGATGGCAGTCGAGGAAGATGACGAACATCGAGAAACACGATCTTGCCGCTGTTGATGCGCCAGTAACTTGGATGCGATTTAGGGTTTCTTTGATTTGGGATTTTGTCTCCTCTTTGCAGGTTTGAATGCTCGTAGAGGAGAAGATGCTATGGCTTCTGTTGTAGTTTTCTGGATATGGGTTTGGTTTGATTTTTCAGGTTGACGTTGCTGGTGAGTTGCGCTGCGGCGGTTCGCGCGAAGGAGATGACAGTGTAAACTGGGCTCGATGGAAACGCGAAGGCGATGATGGAGGTTCGAAGATGCGAACACGACTTCTCGCAGGATGCGAACTCGAACTCAATCGCGATTGGGTTTTCGCTTGCAGGTACGGCGAAGAAGCAAGCTTCCATGGTTGTGCGAGATTGATGACGGAGGTGCAGCGTCCATGGAATTTGGATGAGAATGAAGGCAACGACGCTTTGGCGGAGAGGCTTGCGTTTGACGGGATCTGGCGACGAAGATGGTTGCGCGTCATGGTGGCGATTTCGATGGAGGGTTAGGGTTGCTGGACATTGTGCGACTGTGGCTTGCGGTTGCTGGTGTGCGTGATGCGTTGGAGAATTGAGGGTCTCCCCCAAGCGTGATAAATGACAATTGCGTATTGGTGCAACAGACTTCAATTTCTTACTCAAACACATCTTTCTAAAACACAGAATTCAATTTCTTACTCAGACACATCAAACAACTCTCATTTCCATTAAATTTCTTACTCAGACACATCAAACAACTCTCATTTCCATTAAAATGGAATAAAGGTAGAACATAAGTACAAAACATCTTCCACTCTCATCATCATTTAAACTAAAACTGTGTTTACATAAAACACAAACCAAATTAACGGCAACGGCAAGTCCTCAATTTTTAAATAAAACAAATCCAACTAGTTTACCATAATCTGTCACGTCATTAAACATGCTAATGTCACCTTGCCAGGTACATCATTTTTTAACGTCATTCATATTTTTCACAATCTGGACCTAATCGGGAAGACCTAAGTGAAAAAATTCTGTAAAAATATAAAAATAGGATGTTATAAATGATTAAACCTTTACATTTTTTTATTTAATTTGATTTTTTTTAATTACGTCATTTATCCTATCTATGCAGGAAAATTTTTACTGTTACGTGTTTCAATTTAATTTTTATTTTGAAAAAAGCATGCAATAATACTACTAAAAGAATGTCACTTGTTATTTCATGATTTTTATTTTATTTTTTAATATTTATTTAATTTTTATTTTTATTTTTAAAAATAAAAATTTATCACTTGTATCATGTGTCACTATAATTTTATATATCATTGTTTTAATCTTATTTTATTTTGAGATTTTATTTTGTTTCTGTTTAATATTTTTTAAAATAAAGTAATTTTTTTTTAAAACTAAAACGAAATTTAACTTTTTTTATAAATGTTGTACAAATATTTTAATTAAATATTTTTAACAAGATTAAATAAATTTAAAGACATTTTGAACTGACTTTTTTGACACTACTAAAATTGATACAAAAATATGTTTATGGATGAAATCGAAAATCACTTTGCTTATTTGATCAGAAATAAGATGCACTAGATCACTTAACCACTCCAAAACACCTATGACTAATTATACACATTACAACCGACAATTTGCAAACTAAGAATCTAAACAAGTCTCAATTAACTCAAAAATAGGCCTTAAACCTTCATATTCATCACATACCTTCTCCTTTTGATTCTTACTTGTTAAAACCCTTAAAATGGACCAAGATAGCATAAAACTCAACCTACAATTCTACCTAGTTTCCACTTCTCAAATCAACATCATATTTTTGGCTAACTAAGATCCTAAACAAGTTTAAAACGACCATAAAAACATATTTCAAATATCAGTTATCACTCCAAAATTGTTCCTCTAAAAATTTACATACCAAAATCTCAAATTAGACTAAAAATAGCTCCTGGAACAATTACTTTTTACCAACTTATATCCTACATCAGTTTTGCACGTAATTATACTCCAACACAATAGCGTCAAAAGTTCAAACCAATACCACTTCTCAGACACACACAATATACATCAATATATAAGCATCACTCACAATCATCTCAACTATAGCATATTCAACAAAGATGATTTCTTATGACATCTCAGACACAAATTCATACATCTTAAAACAAAATTGAATGAAACATTAGCTCCCCTTACATGATGAAAAGCTTAAACCGCTTTAATAGCCCAAAACCCCTACCTCAACTCAAATCGTTTTAACGGTACCTATAAACCACAAAAATATAATCATAATAGGTTTTTAAGGTCACTGATTGACAAGAAATTCGAAAAGGAGGTTGGATGACACATGCATCATACCTACATGTATGGCTCAAACATAAAATAAATAAAAAAATAATAGAAACTAACTTATTCTATAGGAAAAATTGATCATATAAGGAGTTAGAAATTAAGGGATATAAAGTCTAGAAAAAAGATTTTAAAGAAATTATACATATTTTTTATAATAAGACATGTCCCTAATCTTATAATAAATTAATTATTAACATATAAGATTATCATCAAAATTTGAAGAGAGTTTTTAATATTGTAAAACCACTAAATATAAGCCTAAATGATAATAACCTATAAATCTTCAAATATAATATTCTGATTATAAAAATAAAAATAATTTTATTTTGAAAAAAAGTTTTTATTAATAATTGAACAAAATATTGATGAAGATGTCTTAGTATACTAAACTAAAAGTAAAAAATCTCTTAAAAAGTGACTTAGTAGAACTTATAAGATGTATATGTTCTTTTGATTTCAAAAGACATTATTCTTAAAATATTTTTTATTAATATATTATGTTATTTGATTTTCTCAATAACAAGGAAATATGATTATATATATTTTTTCATTCTTATTTTTTTAACTTTTTCAATTCATTCATCAACTCGTTATTTTAAAAGTGAGTTAACCAGTAAAAAAAAATAAATTTAAAACAGCTCACTCAAACAAAACGAAAAGTACTTTAAATTATTAATGAAACGATTTTCTAATAAAAATTAAATTAAAAATATACTAATTTAAGTTGAAGTTAAAACTTAATTAAATAAAAAAAATAAAATAAATTTTTGTAGGATACTACGCAAATCTCACCAGCAGCATCTTAAGCCCAGCCCAGATCGGTAAATCCTCACTCACTCAAATATGTGGATTGGGTTCACTTATGTTTTGGGTCTGATTTTGATTTTGCGTTTGCGGGGTTATGCTTCCCAGCGGAGCAAGTATTGTGGTGCACTAATTTTGTTCGATGGAATGTCTCACTGAACTAATGTTTTTTTAATGGCTGACCCTTCACTTTGGAATACTTAACCCCTTTCTAACTTCTGTTTTCTTTTAATATTCTAGCTTCGGTATTGTTCTCTGTGGCTGCTTATGCTTGTTTGAGCTACGTGCTTCTTTACCTATTGAATCACAACTTACGTGTGTGTTGAAAGCATCGTGCTCTGTTAGTTTATGTTGGGAATTTCATGTTTTTGCTTGGAATTAGGGAGAGTAGTCGAAAGAAACCTGATTCAAAGAAAAGGAGGATTTTCCTCCTCTTCCTTGGGTCCATGTTAATGTTATTTGGATCATGCTTGGTCCGTTTTGTGTAGTTTTATTCTTTTATTGTTTATTATCATTAAGACAAGAGTATAAACTTAGTCAAGTAAAATGGTTTGGGGGAAATTTAGTGACACTTTTTGACTTGATTTGATGATCATTTCCTTCACAGGAGCTGTCTGTCCTTTTGCCGTGCCAGATTTTAGTGTACTGTTATTGTGGCTTGTTTTTGTTATTAAATTTCAATTTTTTATTAACTTGTGAGTTTGTTGTTGACATTGTAGTTTTTGTTAATAGCTCTACATAATGCATGGATGGAAATTTTCATGCAATCTGATTACAAACAAAAATATTTTTCTTATTGACAAGCATATAGAAAATTTTGTCATAGAACTGAATTTTTAGGAAAACAAATTCTCTTATACCACTGTTTGTGAGAATGTATTGACATTTTGATTCTTTTTCCTAATTGCTAATGTTGAAAAAGGTTCGTTCATGTATTTTGGTCCTTGATCAAACCATACATATAACTCGGTATTAAAAAGTTGTTTTTATCCGTGATCAATTTTCCAACACTCAAACATTTCTATAGATGATTCACTTAAGTTTATACTTATTTTCTTTTCTTGCAGTTAGCACTTAATGTCCTGTTATTGTAGGGACGTAAGTCTTGCTAAACATGATATGTTCAAGGCTAAGTAGGAGAACTCATCCCTTGCCATATCTTAGGGCACTGCAAACCAACTCTCTTGAATCCAGGTTATACTATGTTGCACCAATTCCTATGGTTTTGTTATTTTTATCTCAGGTTATAGATTAATTTTCTAATGGTAATGGGGATTATTTGAAACATGTTTGTCATAGAATGAAATAAGTTATATTTTACTACTTAAGCATCCTTCTCAAACCAATTGTTCTCTCCAATTAGTTTTTGCCTCTCTAAAATCTGACTTCCAGAAAGAAATTAGTTTATACTTTAATCACTTATTTGTAGATGATTTTGTTTTTTATACAGATGCCTATCTATCCTTTCTAAAAGAACAAGTTACAGGTTCATTAATCCTAAAACCAGCTTCCAACACAATTTCTCTTGTAATATTCCGGTATCAAAGTTTAACCAAGAATTGTACCATCTGAGTTACCGTTCTTCAGCTCTTGCTTCACAGAATGTTGGAAAGTCATGTTCCATTCCTGGTTTGCGACACTTCTCATCTCATGCATCCAAAGAGCAGAAATCACAAAAAATGCTTTTATACTTGACGGGCTTAGTTTTTGCTATGGTTGGCTGCACGTATGCTGCAGTTCCCCTTTACAGGAGATTCTGCCAAGCCACTGGCTACGGGGGAACTGTCACCCGGCGTGAGGTGTGTCTGTGTTGGTTTTCAATGGCTTTGAATATTCATCAAAACTTGGTATTTTTTTCTTATTTTAACTGGTAATTATGAAATTTCACATTTTTACAGACGGTTGAAGAAAAGATTGCTCGACATGATTGCAATAATACAGTCTCCACAAGGTTTTATTTTTTTTTTTCTTATTGGATGTTACCTTTTTACCATCACTCATCATAGGATTAGTGTTTTCTTCAGGTTCATGGTTATTAGAAATAGCTGTTGAATTCCCCAGCACTTTTGAAAGAAAAAAAAAATCATCATTTCACTGTTCCTAATATGGTGGTTCAAATTATTGGAGCTGCTTTGTGTTCCTTCATTTATACTGGGAATATGTATGCGATAGTACTTAGACAAAAGACTAAGCAAAGGAAGGTTAAGATAAAAATATATTTATTCAGCTGTTGTACATGAAGATTTCTCCATAGAACTTGCCTATTATGTGTACCATAACAGTAGTACCTCTAGTGCTCTTTTGACATGTCATGGGAAATTGTATGTAATGGTTCAATAAGAGCTATGCTTATGAGGAATTATTCAATACTCCTCATTTTGGAAGCTAGCTTTTTTGCAGTCATAACTGATAATTTTTTTTTTTGTTCAGGGAAATAGTGGTGCAGTTCAATGCTGATGTTGCTGATGGGATGCAATGGAAGTTTATTCCCACACAGAGAGAGGTCAATATAACTTACCCTCTTGTACCTTAAAAAAAATATTGCTTTCCATCACACAGGATTTATTTACTTACATGTGAAAGTATTGTTTGTGATTGTGGTCAATTTATTTCCTGGAGCTGTTAGTTTTATTTATATTAGTCATCTAATTTAAGAATGGCAACTCAAAGAACTACTAATAACGAAGTCAAGTTAAAGTCTGAGCTTTTGTTTGAAAAGCCAGGTTATCATAGTTTAAATATGTGGGGTAGAAGTGGTATTTTTAAATCTAAATCTAGTTGTATGCTTACTTAAACACTTTCACATTTGCTGCGTTTGACTGCTCGATAGTGTTTCATGTCATTAAAAAAGTTGAATGTTGTAGTACACATCCCCTGGAACACTCGGGGAATCGGAGAATGAAAAAATAAGAACTAAAATGTGGCATTGTTCATTTATTGTACCAGGTTAGGGTCAAGCCCGGTGAAAGTGCCCTCGCATTTTATACTGCGGAAAACAAAAGTTCTACTCCAATAACAGGTGTTTCTACGTATAATGTGACTCCAATGAAGGTACTAACTATTGATGAATACTCTGTTCTATTCATAACAAACGATGTCCGTGAACTTTGATACTTTAAAATTTTGGAAGTTTATGATATGAATATCACTATGATTAAAACCTTGGCATATGGCTAAGAACTTAATATCTTTTGAAGTCTTCCTGTTGCAAGTCTTTTTTTTTTTTTAAATCTCTTTTATGCTTTACTTATTGAAGAATGTTGTTTTTGTTTCTTCCATTTTCTCTCCTTCCTAGTCCTCCAAAATAGTATTTTGAAAAAATTTCCGATTATAAATTTTCTTATTCAGGCTGCAGTGTACTTCAATAAAATACAATGCTTCTGCTTTGAAGAGCAGCGACTTCTTCCCGGAGAGCAGATTGACATGCCTGTAAGTGTTTTCGAATTGAACTCCACTTTGTGCATAATGCACTTACATCTAAATTCTATGCTGCTTGGACAATGTAGGTATTTTTTTATATTGACCCGGAATTTGAGACGGATCCTAAAATGAATGGTATCAATAACATCATGTTATCATATACCTTCTTCAAGGTTCCTGAGGAATAAGACCAACATGAATGTTCACGTGAAATTCAAATAAAATCTCCTTCCAATTCAAAGTACAAAGAGGCAGAGCACATTGATGAAGCTTGAGTTTTCGTTACTTATGATAACCTTGTGATCAAGTTTTGAAGGTTCAAGGTACAATGCCATGACATCAGTGAATTATGCTGATTTTCTGGTGCTTCTAAGTTAAAACAGCATTTGGAGTACCTCCTGAAGTTAGCCATTTAGATTAATTATTTTGCTTTAAAAGTTATTGAAATTCATGTTGGCAAAAAAGGTATGTTAGAATAACGTGTATGGTCAATGGAAACTAGGAAGGTTTGAGTTTTGGTGTAAGTCTAATGAGGCATTTATTTTATACTTTTATAAAACTCAATTATTTATAGATGATTATAGAGTTTGTTTCTTTTCGAAAATGTTCTAAAATAATTATTTTCTTGAATAGTGCTAGAAACAAATCTCTTAACTATTAGTTAATACTTATTTAAAACCACAAAATCGTTAGTATGACTAGTTAATTAATAAGACTCCGCAATTTTTTAAAATAAACTTTAGTTCAAGTGTAAGTTAAATAGTAAAGAAAATATTATTATTTAGATTGTGGGGTCAAGGTCAACATTCATGATTGTATTGTGTTGTTTGAAGTCCAAATGTTGTCCAATAAATGGTCTTTTGTGTGTTCAAATTAGTTTGATGGTACTTGCAAAAGGTATTTGAATAACAAAGTTAGAACGTTTGATAGATAACAATTAATGCAATAGTTAATACAAGTAATTTATCTTATTTCAAATCTTTATATATAGATTTTGTGATAAACTTTTGATTAAAGTTGGCTTAATTACATCTAATTGTGACTAATTATATTTTATTCTTAATTTAATTAATTTTAAGGTTAATCTATTTGAGATTATTCATCTCAATCTATTCAACTCAAGGTTGAATAATTTGTTTAGTGATCAGCCAAGCTCGATTTGTTATCTACGCTAATTTTGACTCATCCGAACTAATTCATGGTCAACTAACCTATTTGGTGACCGATCAGACGTAGTGTTCTGTTCACCCTGATTATTGGTATCTGGGTTAGTATGGTTGGTTAGCCTGATTGGTGAAAGGCCGGACTTGGTGGCTTGTGCTTTAGGTTGTGGGATGTCTCTCTAAACTAGTGTATGATCAATCGGTCTTTTTGGTGTTCGATTGAGTTCGTCGATTAGTTTTCCAAGCTGTAAGTTAATTATTTGAGTTTATTCATGACTAGCCTGATTGTTTAGTGATTGACCAAACTTGTTAGTTAATTACCTAGACTATAGTTGATTATCTAAAGGGTAGCTGACTAAATAATCATACATTATAATTATAAACCATTTCACTTCATCAATTTTCAATTCAACAAAGGGTAATCAAACTATAGATATAAGTATAACAATTGTCTACTTACATGAGCACGGGTAATTTTGCTTTATTATGTTATTAATATTACATGTAGTCTAGGTTTACAAATGAAAAAAAGAAAACTGCTTTGACCATAACACATAATATAAACATTTTATTAGTCAACTATTTTATAACGAAGGAGATGGTATTTACTTTTTCTTTTTTATTTATTTAAATCAATGTTACGATTAAATATACAGTTAGAAACAGCGGTAAAATTTTGGTAAATGTTCTGCAGCAAGAAAAATCCCTTTTTTCTTTCTATTTGTATTAGGATAAAATTTAAGTGCAGTATTTTAATATGCTCTTCCCCGTTTTAATATCTTTACTAGTTCTAATGCGCTCTTTGTTGTAATTTATTTTAATAAAATGTTAAGTTAATTTAAATACTTATCTGAATAATTGTTTTTAAGCTCCACTTTTTAACTCTGTTACATTTTTGTAAGTTCTATTTTAATCCGTGAAAATATATCATTTAGTTCATCCTTAATGGTTGAAATTTGGAACTGAATATAGCACTGACAAAAAAAAAATACTCCATTCTGTTATTTGATGGAAAAAAGAAATCCCATTGGGCTCGGTTTTCCTTTCGGCATCTTCTTCCTCGCCTTCATAATTTCTTCTTGCACTCTTATACGAAAATTTCAATTTTATCCTCTTTTCATTTTAAGTTCTGAAACGCACAATTGAGATACGTTTCGAAATTTATAATCGAAAATGCAAAAGTTGTATTCCAGATCATACATTCCAAAATACAAAAATATTGTGTTTTGAATTATATAATTTAAAGTGCATTTTTTATTTTGTATTTAGATTTCACAGTCTGAAACATCTTTTTAATAAAGAAGAAGGTGAAGAGTAGTCCCAAGAAATTGTCTCTTATTCTCCTTTTCCCAAAGGGAACCAATGCAAAAATAACCAAATAGTTAATTTTCTATATTTTAATAAAAATTAATTCAAGTTAGTTTTCTTGTTTTTTTTTTTGTTTTATAACTTTTAATCATTTTTTACGTATTATTTAACATAAATATTTTTTATACGTAATTTTTTTTAAAATGTGGGGTTGAAAAATAAAAGTCAAATCTTGTGGGGATGGATTCTCAAGATTCCTACTGAATTTAGTATCAAAATTTCATCATTAGAAAAAGATATAAATGACCTTTTGGAAATGCAGTCACCCACCCATACCCCACCACCATGTTATCTATCTCAAAACCTATTAAAGTTTATCAAATTAGTTTGAGAGATAAGATTCTCAATATTTTATCTTGTCCATCAAATATACTTTACAAACTATTGATTTACTTTCATTATTTGAGTGGAAAGAAAAATAAAATAAAATTCTGAACTTATCAGATCATTAAAATCAATCTGTTTGAGAACAGAGTATGTGTTTTTTTAGAACTAGTTTTTTTTTTCTTAGTCTTAAAAACTCAGTTACAGTGATTAATTAAGGTTACATATTTAATTAATTATAATAAAACTTAACATAATATAAAAACTTTCCTGTTTAGATTAACTTAATAGCTTAAGGAGAATGTGCACGTTATTATATATTTTTTTATATTTATTTAATTCCAACGGAATATAAAAGGAACCTTCATAACATAAGATTTAGTTTTCGTCTTATTACATTATAATTATAACATGTCGATCATATGAATCTGAGTACATTATGCTTAATCTCTTACAACATAACTTTGTTTTACAAAGGAATAGAAATAATTATGTGTGATTGAATATAAAAACATGTGCGTTGAAATTAATTTGTATAGTAAGTCATACATGAAATGAAACGTGTTATGGTTTGGAGAACTTCATTATGACATGTAGGCTCTCCAATTACTTATAACAATTCAGTGTTTCATTTTTTTTGCTTTCTTTCCTTTCTTTAAGGACAAATATAACAAATAACTGCTTTTTTTTTTCAACGTTTGATTTTATTCTTTAGTAAAAGCTGGAAGTTAATGTCAACCAATAATTTAATTAGGACATTTGTTTTATTTGATTCTTTTTGATAAATTTATTGAAAAGTAATTTTATGATTATTTTTTAATACAATAAAAGTTAGTTTCTTAACCAAAAAAGAGTATATATGAAGTTAAAGAAAAAATCAAAAAATAGTAACGAACTAAAAATTATCAAATTCACAAAAAGGGTTGTTTTTCAAAGAAATTTATGAATTTTAACTACTTTAACAACTGTACCCTTAAAATTATAAACATTTTTCCTAAAAGAAAACACACTGAAATATTACAAAATAACATTTTCTAACCATATCATAAAATAATAAAATATATTGAGTTGGTTAAAGATAAAACTAATTTATAATATACAATATTCGATGTATGATAAGAAAATTATTTGCTGATGTATGATAGATTTCTTATACCGGTTAAAAAAATATCAATTTTGAAACTGACATAAATACAGTTGGTATAAAAAGTTTTCACTTTCTATGTCAATTACAGTACAACATGCATAGAAAGTCTTACTTCTAATTTTATCTCAAATTCTCCATGAAAGCCTAATTCCATCGTCAGAGGCACCCTAGCCTTATGTTCATTGTCGCTATCATTCATTCCTTGCTCTATTTCCTCTGCCTCTTCGTTTACATCCATGAGATTTGTGTTGTCACTATACATTTTTTCACTTTCAATCTCATCACGCACTTTTTCGCCAAAGAGGTTTGGGATTCTGATGCCGACATAATTGTCACTCATTCACTTTCTATGTCACTTATGAGGTATAATTATAGGTATGGCAACGGATCGGGTCGGGTACGGGTAGTGCCTATCCGCAACTCGACTCGCCGGATAAAACTGTACTTGCTACTCGACCTGCTACCTGCGCATATACCCATTTAAAAAATAGGTATTTTAAAACCCGCGAGTACCCGCAAAAAATAAAAAAATATATTTAATACATTTTTAAATAAAATTTAAATAAAATTACAAAAGAAAAATATAATATAATATTGACTAAATTAAATATAAATTAAAATTTAATTTTAATTAAATTTAACTTAATAAAATATAATTTTATTTTATTTTTAATTAAATCTAATTAAAATATATATAAATTGTTTTTTTAATTTTTTGCGAATAACGGATACCCGCTGAGCGGGTAATATACTACTCATACCCGACCCGTTTAGAAACGGATATTAAAATACTTGCTACCCACGGATAATAAATACTCGCAAATAATAACTACCCGTCACAGATTTTACCCGCAGATACCCGTAAGATAAAATTGTCATCCCTAAATATAACTTATGAAATTATCACCGCGCCTTCTAATGATAATCAAGGTAGAAAGTATTTTATTACGTTTATTGTGTCAACCGATTATAGTAATAATTGACATAAAAATTTTATCATATTTATAATTTTGACACTCTATTACTTATTATGAAAAGTAAATTATAATTAGCATAATAAGTCATCGCAATAAATTATTTTCCACTAATAATTTAAGTTTAAATTTGTTTTCTAATATAATGTTAAAATATATCTTTAAAAAAAATCGTCGGCCACTCATGTTATCCGTTACGGATTGCTATTAAAATACTCAAAATTATTTAATTTCAAGTAGATATTATTATACTTAATTTTTGTTTTCATATAATTGTTATTTATTATGTTATTGATCTTTTAAAAGTCGAAGACACAGTAATAAATATAGTTCCAAATATTCTAATATGTGTATATATTATATTAAAAATAAATACATATAATACATTTCACTATATTAAATGAATGTCATAATTTTAACAAACTTGAAAAAGATGTATGGCATTTTTATTGAGTAGACTAACTATTGATAACTACCGGACGCTAGCTTCGCTTCTTTCTCTCATTCCTTTGTTTTTCCCTAACACACCTTTTCCAACCCTTTCAATAAAAGAAGAGAAGGTGATGAACTTTACAGCTATGCATGCCTCACTCCACCAAAAGATGACAACTTCGTCTGCGTGTGAGAATAAAGCACTCGTGTCATGTTTCTGAAAAATAATTAAAAAAAAGAAATAAAACAAAATTTTCAAATACAATTTGAACGATTCTTAATCATCTTTGCATGCTTTCAGTTCAACCATTAACTATTCTTCACTATATATATCATTCCAGATGTGAAAGACCAACAAACTATTGGCCATATTGCAGTATTAACTCACTCATCAACCAACCACATTTCATACGTTCTGTATTCACGCACTCAATATATATGCATTATGAGATTAACTCTCACATTAAACTAGACCCATACTTAGTAAACATATACTTCTTTACCTTCTACGTTATTTTATTTAAAATTAAGTTAAATTTAAAATTCCTCAAAACCTAAATCTACCTACGTTACGTTACATACTAATAACATATATGTTTATTGTATGACCATTCATTAAACGTTTTCACAACAGATTTTCCAAAATTCAAAAGATGTCATCAAAGTTGATCCTTCGGTGAACATTTTTATAGTTAATCGATTGATAATTACATATTAAAATTATTATCATAAATCCAACATGTTTAACAAGTAAAAACAGATAAAACATGTTTATATTCATCTGCTCGACTTAAACTCAATATCAAAAAAATTAATAAATAAGAAAGTGCGAAGGATGAGCTATCGGATATATATATATATATATCGGAATCAATATCATTTATGAAATTTGAAGTAGTTAGCATCGGTTATATGTATAGTGGAAATATTCCTTGATGTGGCAGTGGAGTGTGAAGGGTAGTTGAGACTTTGTGGTTATGTTGAGTTAAGATTAATGTGTTTTGTAGTGTGAATTGAAAAGAAAGAGTGCATTAATTTGTTAAAGTGAGAAGACATTATGATGGGAAGCTTGAAGTGGAAGCATGTTATGGGGTAGTGGCTTGTAGTAGGTTGATTTTCCATTCATAAACCTAACGAATTGGATGACATTCTGCTTACCCTTCACCTTCACAAAACCAAACTCTATTCTTCCTTTGGCCCCGTTGACGACTTCAAGAAGAAACATCTGAAAACTTTCTCTCAACAACCTTTTATTCTTCCATTGCTCTCTCAGCTTTCATCCTCACGTGCAAATCAAAACCTCTTCCTCCAACTCTCTCCATCGGATAACACTTCAACTTCAAATCTAAAGAACCAAATATCGATCCACTATATACACAGACCAATACTGATAATATAGAATAACCTTTTATATTAAATCATAAATTATTTAATTCCAGAAAACTACATTTTAGATCTTCAAATATCTTTAATATTTTTTTTTCGTCAATCCCGTTTTCCCAGATTTATCGTTTTGTTTTTTTTATTCTCTTATCTTTTATGATGGTCAATTGTGAAAAAACCTTATATCTTAAATTTCTTTTATTAATTTTAGTAATAAACGTCTACTAAATTGGTTACGGAGAATATCTATTTTATTATAATTTTCTATACACATTTCTAAAATTTTATTAAATCATATTTATATTTATTATTATTTTTTAATAAGTAACATAATTGAATTAATTTATTAATTAATTTCAACAATTCTGTCATAAAATATGTGTACATTGTTTTACATGAGAGGTAGTTGTTTGTGTTTTTTTTATTAAGTAGTCTAAGTTTTGAAATTTTTTGTGTTTTTCAGTATGAAATAAACTACATTTAGATAATAATAATGTGTATGTATATTTTGCGTTTGGAGTCCTGTAAATGTAATATATAGTGGTATTGATCTAGATTTATAATTTCTCTACTTCTTTAAAATGTTAAATGGATATGTATTGATTGTGGAAAATGTTCTACATTATTAACTAGTTTAAAATAATCATTCATGTGATTTTTAAGATCGTTACTGTGAAAATTTCCAAACTTGTTATGATAAGTTTAATATAAATATTTTTATATTATTAGCCAATTAAAATATTTGTAATATTGTGTTTGTTTACAATGATTTATTATTAGAAANGTTTTCAATGGCTTTGAATATTCATCAAAACTTGGTATTTTTTTCTTATTTTAACTGGTAATTATGAAATTTCACATTTTTACAGACGGTTGAAGAAAAGATTGCTCGACATGATTGCAATAATACAGTCTCCACAAGGTTTTATTTTTTTTTTTCTTATTGGATGTTACCTTTTTACCATCACTCATCATAGGATTAGTGTTTTCTTCAGGTTCATGGTTATTAGAAATAGCTGTTGAATTCCCCAGCACTTTTGAAAGAAAAAAAAAATCATCATTTCACTGTTCCTAATATGGTGGTTCAAATTATTGGAGCTGCTTTGTGTTCCTTCATTTATACTGGGAATATGTATGCGATAGTACTTAGACAAAAGACTAAGCAAAGGAAGGTTAAGATAAAAATATATTTATTCAGCTGTTGTACATGAAGATTTCTCCATAGAACTTGCCTATTATGTGTACCATAACAGTAGTACCTCTAGTGCTCTTTTGACATGTCATGGGAAATTGTATGTAATGGTTCAATAAGAGCTATGCTTATGAGGAATTATTCAATACTCCTCATTTTGGAAGCTAGCTTTTTTGCAGTCATAACTGATAATTTTTTTTTTTGTTCAGGGAAATAGTGGTGCAGTTCAATGCTGATGTTGCTGATGGGATGCAATGGAAGTTTATTCCCACACAGAGAGAGGTCAATATAACTTACCCTCTTGTACCTTAAAAAAAATATTGCTTTCCATCACACAGGATTTATTTACTTACATGTGAAAGTATTGTTTGTGATTGTGGTCAATTTATTTCCTGGAGCTGTTAGTTTTATTTATATTAGTCATCTAATTTAAGAATGGCAACTCAAAGAACTACTAATAACGAAGTCAAGTTAAAGTCTGAGCTTTTGTTTGAAAAGCCAGGTTATCATAGTTTAAATATGTGGGGTAGAAGTGGTATTTTTAAATCTAAATCTAGTTGTATGCTTACTTAAACACTTTCACATTTGCTGCGTTTGACTGCTCGATAGTGTTTCATGTCATTAAAAAAGTTGAATGTTGTAGTACACATCCCCTGGAACACTCGGGGAATCGGAGAATGAAAAAATAAGAACTAAAATGTGGCATTGTTCATTTATTGTACCAGGTTAGGGTCAAGCCCGGTGAAAGTGCCCTCGCATTTTATACTGCGGAAAACAAAAGTTCTACTCCAATAACAGGTGTTTCTACGTATAATGTGACTCCAATGAAGGTACTAACTATTGATGAATACTCTGTTCTATTCATAACAAACGATGTCCGTGAACTTTGATACTTTAAAATTTTGGAAGTTTATGATATGAATATCACTATGATTAAAACCTTGGCATATGGCTAAGAACTTAATATCTTTTGAAGTCTTCCTGTTGCAAGTCTTTTTTTTTTTTTAAATCTCTTTTATGCTTTACTTATTGAAGAATGTTGTTTTTGTTTCTTCCATTTTCTCTCCTTCCTAGTCCTCCAAAATAGTATTTTGAAAAAATTTCCGATTATAAATTTTCTTATTCAGGCTGCAGTGTACTTCAATAAAATACAATGCTTCTGCTTTGAAGAGCAGCGACTTCTTCCCGGAGAGCAGATTGACATGCCTGTAAGTGTTTTCGAATTGAACTCCACTTTGTGCATAATGCACTTACATCTAAATTCTATGCTGCTTGGACAATGTAGGTATTTTTTTATATTGACCCGGAATTTGAGACGGATCCTAAAATGAATGGTATCAATAACATCATGTTATCATATACCTTCTTCAAGGTTCCTGAGGAATAAGACCAACATGAATGTTCACGTGAAATTCAAATAAAATCTCCTTCCAATTCAAAGTACAAAGAGGCAGAGCACATTGATGAAGCTTGAGTTTTCGTTACTTATGATAACCTTGTGATCAAGTTTTGAAGGTTCAAGGTACAATGCCATGACATCAGTGAATTATGCTGATTTTCTGGTGCTTCTAAGTTAAAACAGCATTTGGAGTACCTCCTGAAGTTAGCCATTTAGATTAATTATTTTGCTTTAAAAGTTATTGAAATTCATGTTGGCAAAAAAGGTATGTTAGAATAACGTGTATGGTCAATGGAAACTAGGAAGGTTTGAGTTTTGGTGTAAGTCTAATGAGGCATTTATTTTATACTTTTATAAAACTCAATTATTTATAGATGATTATAGAGTTTGTTTCTTTTCGAAAATGTTCTAAAATAATTATTTTCTTGAACAGTGCTAGAAACAAATCTCTTAACTATTAGTTAATACTTATTTAAAACCACAAAATCGTTAGTATGACTAGTTAAGTAATAAGACTCCGCAATTTTTTAAAATAAACTTTAGTTCAAGTGTAAGTTAAATAGTAAAGAAAATATTATTATTTAGATTGTGGGGTCAAGGTCAACATTCATGATTGTATTGTGTTGTTTGAAGTCCAAATGTTGTCCAATAAATGGTCTTTTGTGTGATCAAATTAGTTTGATGGTACTTGCAAAAGGTATTTGAATAACAAAGTTAGAACGTTTGATAGATAACAATTAATGCAATAGTTAATACAAGTAATTTATCTTATTTCAAATCTTTATATATAGATTTTGTGATAAACTTTTGATTAAAGTTGGCTTAATTACATCTAATTGTGACTAATTATATTTTATTCTTAATTTAATTAATTTTAAGGTTAATCTATTTGAGATTATTCATCTCAATCTATTCAACTCAAGGTTGAATAATTTGTTTAGTGATCAGCCAAGCTCGATTTGTTATCTACGCTAATTTTGACTCATCCGAACTAATTCATGGTCAACTAACCTATTTGGTGACCGATCAGACGTAGTGTTCTGTTCACCCTGATTATTGGTATCTGGGTTAGTATGGTTGGTCGGCCTGATTAGTGAAAGGCCGGACTTGGTGGCTTGTGCTTTAGGTTGTGGGATGTCTCTCTAAACTAGTGTATGATCAATCGGTCTTTTTGGTGTTCGATTGAGTTCGTCGATTAGTTTTCCAAGCTGTAAGTTAATTATTTGAGTTTATTCATGACTAGCCTGATTGTTTAGTGATTGACCAAACTTGTTAGTTAATTACCTAGACTATAGTTGATTATCTAAAGGGTAGCTGACTAAATAATCATACATTATAATTATAAACCATTTCACTTCATCAATTTTCAATTCAACAAAGGGTAATCAAACTATAGATATAAGTATAACAATTGTCTACTTACATGAGCACGGGTAATTTTGCTTTATTATGTTATTAATATTACATGTAGTCTAGGTTTACAAATGAAAAAAAGAAAACTGCTTTGACCATAACACATAATATAAACATTTTATTAGTCAACTATTTTATAACGAAGGAGATGGTATTTACTTTTTCTTTTTTATTTATTTAAATCAATGTTACGATTAAATATACAGTTAGAAACAGCGGTAAAATTTTGGTAAATGTTCTGCAGCAAGAAAAATCCCTTTTTTCTTTCTATTTGTATTAGGATAAAATTTAAGTGCAGTATTTTAATATGCTCTTCCCCGTTTTAATATCTTTACTAGTTCTAATGCGCTCTTTGTTGTAATTTATTTTAATAAAACGTTAAGTTAATTTAAATACTTATCTGAATAATTGTTTTTAAGCTCCACTTTTTAACTCTGTTACATTTTTGTAAGTTCTATTTTAACCCGTGAAAATATATCATTTAGTTCATCCTTAATGGTTGAAATTTGGAACTGAATATAGCACTGACAAAAAAAAAATACTCCATACTGTTATTTGATGGAAAAAAGAAATCCCATTGGGCTCGGTTTTCCTTTCGGCATCTTCTTCCTCGCCTTCATAATTTCTTCTTGCACTCTTATACGAAAATTTCAATTTTATCCTCTTTTCATTTTAAGTTCTGAAACGCACAATTGAGATACGTTTCGAAATTTATAATCGAAAATGCAAAAGTTGTATTCCAGATCATACATTCCAAAATACAAAAATATTGTGTTTTGAATTATATAATTTAAAGTGCATTTTTTATTTTGTATTTAGATTTCACAGTCTGAAACATCTTTTTAATAAAGAAGAAGGTGAAGAGTAGTCCCAAGAAATTGTCTCTTATTCTCCTTTTCCCAAAGGGAACCAATGCAAAAATAACCAAATAGTTAATTTTCTATATTTTAATAAAAATTAATTCAAGTTAGTTTTCTTGTTTTTTTTTTTGTTTTATAACTTTTAATCATTTTTTACGTATTATTTAACATAAATATTTTTTATACGTAATTTTTTTTAAAATGTGGGGTTGAAAAATAAAAGTCAAATCTTGTGGGGATGGATTCTCAAGATTCCTACTGAATTTAGTATCAAAATTTCATCATTAGAAAAAGATATAAATGACCTTTTGGAAATGCAGTCACCCACCCATACCCCACCACCATGTTATCTATCTCAAAACCTATTAAAGTTTATCAAATTAGTTTGAGAGATAAGATTCTCAATATTTTATCTTGTCCATCAAATATACTTTACAAACTATTGATTTACTTTCATTATTTGAGTGGAAAGAAAAATAAAATAAAATTCTGAACTTATCAGATCATTAAAATCAATCTGTTTGAGAACAGAGTATGTGTTTTTTTAGAACTAGTTTTTTTTTTCTTAGTCTTAAAAACTCAGTTACAGTGATTAATTAAGGTTACATATTTAATTAATTATAATAAAACTTAACATAATATAAAAACTTTCCTGTTTAGATTAACTTAATAGCTTAAGGAGAATGTGCACGTTATTATATATTTTTTTATATTTATTTAATTCCAACGGAATATAAAAGGAACCTTCATAACATAAGATTTAGTTTTCGTCTTATTACATTATAATTATAACATGTCGATCATATGAATCTGAGTACATTATGCTTAATCTCTTACAACATAACTTTGTTTTACAAAGGAATAGAAATAATTATGTGTGATTGAATATAAAAACATGTGCGTTGAAATTAATTTGTATAGTAAGTCATACATGAAATGAAACGTGTTATGGTTTGGAGAACTTCATTATGACATGTAGGCTCTCCAATTACTTATAACAATTCAGTGTTTCATTTTTTTTGCTTTCTTTCCTTTCTTTAAGGACAAATATAACAAATAACTGCTTTTTTTTTTCAACGTTTGATTTTATTCTTTAGTAAAAGCTGGAAGTTAATGTCAACCAATAATTTAATTAGGACATTTGTTTTATTTGATTCTTTTTGATAAATTTATTGAAAAGTAATTTTATGATTATTTTTTAATACAATAAAAGTTAGTTTCTTAACCAAAAAAGAGTATATATGAAGTTAAAGAAAAAATCAAAAAATAGTAACGAACTAAAAATTATCAAATTCACAAAAAGGGTTGTTTTTCAAAGAAATTTATGAATTTTAACTACTTTAACAACTGTACCCTTAAAATTATAAACATTTTTCCTAAAAGAAAACACACTGAAATATTACAAAATAACATTTTCTAACCATATCATAAAATAATAAAATATATTGAGTTGGTTAAAGATAAAACTAATTTATAATATACAATATTCGATGTATGATAAGAAAATTATTTGCTGATGTATGATAGATTTCTTATACCGGTTAAAAAAATATCAATTTTGAAACTGACATAAATACAGTTGGTATAAAAAGTTTTCACTTTCTATGTCAATTACAGTACAACATGCATAGAAAGTCTTACTTCTAATTTTATCTCAAATTCTCCATGAAAGCCTAATTCCATCGTCAGAGGCACCCTAGCCTTATGTTCATTGTCGCTATCATTCATTCCTTGCTCTATTTCCTCTGCCTCTTCGTTTACATCCATGAGATTTGTGTTGTCACTATACATTTTTTCACTTTCAATCTCATCACGCACTTTTTCGCCAAAGAGGTTTGGGATTCTGATGCCGACATAATTGTCACTCATTCACTTTCTATGTCACTTATGAGGTATAATTATAGGTATGGCAACGGATCGGGTCGGGTACGGGTAGTGCCTATCCGCAACTCGACTCGCCGGATAAAACTGTACTTGCTACTCGACCTGCTACCTGCGCATATACCCATTTAAAAAATAGGTATTTTAAAACCCGCGAGTACCCGCAAAAAATAAAAAAATATATTTAATACATTTTTAAATAAAATTTAAATAAAATTACAAAAGAAAAATATAATATAATATTGACTAAATTAAATATAAATTAAAATTTAATTTTAATTAAATTTAACTTAATAAAATATAATTTTATTTTATTTTTAATTAAATCTAATTAAAATATATATAAATTGTTTTTTTAATTTTTTGCGAATAACGGATACCCGCGGAGCGGGTAATATACTACTCATACCCGACCCGTTTAGAAACGGATATTAAAATACTTGCTACCCACGGATAATAAATACTCGCAAATAATAACTACCCGTCACAGATTTTACCCGCAGATACCCGTAAGATAAAATTGTCATCCCTAAATATAACTTATGAAATTATCACCGCGCCTTCTAATGATAATCAAGGTAGAAAGTATTTTATTACGTTTATTGTGTCAACCGATTATAGTAATAATTGACATAAAAATTTTATCATATTTATAATTTTGACACTCTATTACTTATTATGAAAAGTAAATTATAATTAGCATAATAAGTCATCGCAATAAATTATTTTCCACTAATAATTTAAGTTTAAATTTGTTTTCTAATATAATGTTAAAATATATCTTTAAAAAAAATCGTCGGCCACTCATGTTATCCGTTACGGATTGCTATTAAAATACTCAAAATTATTTAATTTCAAGTAGATATTATTATACTTAATTTTTGTTTTCATATAATTGTTATTTATTATGTTATTGATCTTTTAAAAGTCGAAGACACAGTAATAAATATAGTTCCAAATATTCTAATATGTGTATATATTATATTAAAAATAAATACATATAATACATTTCACTATATTAAATGAATGTCATAATTTTAACAAACTTGAAAAAGATGTATGGCATTTTTATTGAGTAGACTAACTATTGATAACTACCGGACGCTAGCTTCGCTTCTTTCTCTCATTCCTTTGTTTTTCCCTAACACACCTTTTCCAACCCTTTCAATAAAAGAAGAGAAGGTGATGAACTTTACAGCTATGCATGCCTCACTCCACCAAAAGA